CTTCTGTGCATCTGCTGTCCTCAAAATACAGAGACTGCCATATTATTTCTTAGATATATCAGATTAGTACTTGTCAAAAGAATTTGTTTTAACATACATTGTATTAAGAAACATTTTATACATAGCCAGAGGTTTTTCTAGAAAAATTTAGCATGAGGGAGCAGATCGCAAGCATGGCAAGGAACGAAGCAACCGAGGGGGGATTTTCTAATAAGGGTATCACAGTTTGTAATGCTAGAATGCATTGTTGTATTGTTGTTACATCTTTAAGTGTGTGAGTAGCCACATAGGGTTCAATTTGAAAATTGGTATGAGGGAGCTGGCTGGTTACATGAGGGAGCAGTGCCCTTATTCCCGTTTAGAAAAAACCCTGCATAGCCATAGAAGGTAAGCAAACTGCAGCTGCGAAGGTTGTCGACTTTTTTCTCTGTCTACTTCCAGCCACCTGCTGCTCACCAGCACTCACATGTACGTCTTGAGAGACAATCCAGACAGAAAAGGTGAGAAAATATCATTTTTGTACGCCGCTGTCAGACTGTACAATGAGACTTTGTAATAATCTGTTATTTCGTGCCCCTTTCAAGTATAGTATCCGAATGAATGTGTTTTTTTCTTTTTTTCTTTGTTTCTAACTTGTTTAAATGTCGCAGCTACAAAATATATCTATTTTAAAGATTATGAATGATGAAAAATGTTTTTAAATGTACATTATACTGTGAATTTTAGTATTTGGTCTTAAAATGTTGTAAGTAGTAATTTCAATTTAACATATTTTTCGAAATGTAAAGATACTAGCAATTGTAACGTGCGTGCGACTTGTGTACAAATACCTCACAATTCAGCCGCGAGGCTGCGATGGGTTTTGGTTTTCAATAAACAATAAGGAGAACGTGGATTCTCAATGTTACCCCTTGAATTTTTCCCATAGGCCACACCAATTTAATTTGTTGGTTCTCGGATTTTTTCAGAAAAAATATGAAGTGACAGGGCGAAAAAAAATAAAAATAAAAACAGGTCTAGGCATCCTATTATAGCCCCAAATAGTACAATTGGAGCCATGAAGTCAACACAAAAGGCTGGGTTAACATTTAAACAATGAATTTTGAACTTTTAATCAAACCACTGCATTGATAGATTGAAAAACTGCAACAACTAGGAAGAAAATGACTTTCCTCAACTGTTGGGGGGAAAATATGAGCATGTTTTAGTTGATTCAGACCCAGAACCTTTTTTTTTTTTTTGCAAATTGGAAAAAAATGAAGAGGCAAATCCGAGAACCAACAAATTAAATTGGTGTGGCCATATAGAAAGATTTCTGAGTAAGAAAGAAGTTTTGATAATGTTGAAGTTGAAAACCTTGGACATCTTATCTTGTGCAGGAAAATTTCTTTCAATCAAGGCTTTGTGTAATATTTTGGTTTTAGGAGCCGACTTTACACTGTCAGATTTAGAAGCAATGTACAAAATAGAATGCAGGGTAGGAATGTTCTTAAATTCACAACCAGTTTTTTAACAAGAGCAGCTGATGTTTCAATGACTGTCAGTATCATTTTTTGTCAAACATGCATTTATAATCTTTATTTGCTTCTTGCCATCAATGTGCCATGGTTAAGTACATGAAACACACACACAATGATTAAATTAAGTGATTTCTAACAATCACGATTGAATAAAAAAACTAAACAAGTGGTTGTGGATAAAAAAACTTTGCTGTTCAATCATTTACCAACTCATCAATGAAATTATTCACGGAAATGTACAAAATAGCCTCTAATGGACCTATACCATTATTACGTCACAGTTTGTTTACTGCAATGAATGCCGGTCAATCTACGTTTATGTTGTACAGGGGTGCGTAGAGCGGTGTGTGTTTGTGTACCGTTAGCCTAATATAAGGCTTTTAATACTACTGTACTACTTTCGTCTAATGTCACAACTAAATCACCCATGCGGCATGTAATGCTGTGTCAACACAACTAGACGCAGCAAAAATCAGACATACCTTACTTTGAAAACTGAAATGATCTTTATTCTTTAACTGACCGTTCTAGAATGGTCTCTAGAACTGTGAGGTAAACAAACTGTGATGTAATAATGGTATAGGTCCATTGTGCCTTTGTTTTCACTACGATTCTTGCGTCGGCAGGAATGTCGTTTATCCAGTCGAGACACGCGCTGACGGAAGTTGTGAAGATCACGTCCAAGAAGAGACATCCTGACCTGATCACGTTTAAGTACGGCATCAGTGAGGAGGAAGGAGTTCAGGTCACAGGCATGGAGAGGTGAGGCTAGAAAAAATGTCCAGACTATACATTATGTGCAAAATGACTAATAAACAGGTGGACGTCCCAACTAATAAGTACCTAATACCAGCCCAGGAGAAGAAATAGCCATGCCTTCAAGTACCAGAGTTATCAACCAAGGATTGAGGTGTTCAAGAATTCATTCTTTCCTAGAACTATCACAGAGTGGAACTCGTTGTCACCAAGTGCAGTAGGGGCATTGTCATTAGATAGCTTTAAACCATGTTTAGAGTTAGATGTTCAAGGGTTCGGTGTAATGCATCGATCGGTGCATGTAATGTAGCCAGCTGCTGTCGCACCATGTGCCTGTAAAGCTGGTGTGTTACGCCGAAGGCTGGTTATACCGGCTATACAGATACAGAAGCTGGTGTGTTACGCCGAAGGCTGGTTATACCGGCTATACAGATACAGAAGCTGGTGTGTTACGCCGAAGGCTGGTTATACCGGCTATACAGATACAGAAGCTGGTGTGTTACGCCGAAGGGCGGTTATACCGGCTATACAGATACAGAAGCTGGTGTGTTACGCCGAAGGCTGGTTATATCGGCTATACAGATACAGGTACAGAATAAGGACCTCTCCTGCCATAGCACATTGCAGAACGTACTGCACCTGCGCGGAAGCTGTCATGTACATGTATTGTGCATAGCACTTTGGCAAAATTGAGGTGCTCAAAAACTTGTATTTTCCAACAGCTATCGTAGACTGGAACTCGTTGCCACCAAGCACAGTTGGGGCATCATCACTAGAAAGCTTTAAACAACTGTTGCAATTCTTTCTTTCTTTATTCTTTATTTCAGGTAAAAACCCATATAACACATGTACAATACATCATTAAAATAATACGAAAACTCTACAGACATACAAGTAAAACAGGAAGAAACCTAAAAGCATAATAAATGGTAGGTCTTCCGAAAGAATGAATTCCTGTAGAAGGCATCGGAATGTGCAATTAAATGTGCAAAGATTGAGTGTAACAAGTTGTTCTGTGTAATATAGCCAGCTGCCGCCAAAGTCCTGTTATACATGCACCGACTATACAGAATCTGATACAGATGTCCCTATAGAGCTCACACACCCGATTGTTTTGTCCAGGTTTCTGATCCCGGAGGCCGCCACCTGCACCAGATTTATCAAAGACCAGATTCTGAAGGTTCTGGACGCCACCGACAGCTGACCTCCCGCAGGACTTCACTTGTGCAATTCCAGATTCCACTGATAGGGGGCGTAGTTAAGCTGTGAACAGACACACGGACACAGTACTGCCCAGTGTTCCAGCCAGTCTGAATTTTTTTTTTAATTTGTGTCAATTTTGTGTCAATTTTGTTGGATGTAACATCATGTGGAGCGTTGGATGTGACAATTCTAGGTTGGGGGGGGATGCTCCCCCTGGAAATTTATAAATCTTGACCCTTTGAAATGCTATTTGCTGCATTTTAAGGGGCAGATTTTGCCAATAGACTAAGCTAGATGAATCTCTTACCATCTCTTTATGAACCAATTTTTGTCTGTCAAAGCTGACGGATTGGGCAAAGTATTTGTCCGTCATGAGCAGCGAAATTTCTGTCAAATGACGGGAAGACAGATGCTGTCTGGAACACTGGTACAGCCTGATAATTCCTGTAGAACAGCTTCATGACCTTAGTATGAAAGTTCATCTGTGTTGGTCTACTTCATTATGACAAAAAAGGGCTAAACGTTCTAGCCAACACGTTCTAGCCAAATTGGGACTCACCCAAATTTTCGGCTGACTCTGTCATTTTGTGTACATTCGGGCTGACCGTCCAACACAACAGAGACGGGGGGCGACACAGGTTATCTGACACGTACGGCCCTCTGCTGCAATCACGTGTTTCCGACGTCACGTCCCGGAAGCTGCAGTAGAAGGGTCCATTCCATGGGCCGAAAATTTGGGTAAGTCCCAATTTACTGTGTTCACAAGAACGTTTAGCCCTTTTTGTCATAATGAAGCTTCAACGATCTGAGCCTGTCCCAGCCTTTCCCGGCATTCTGTTTTGTTGTGTTTTGTTTGTGCACATTTTGTTACCTTCCTTGTCAATGTATGTTCGCTAACACAGCATGTTTGCCCTCTTGCTAACACGGTATTTTGTTGTAAATTGAGGCCAGAATGGCTTGTGATATAATATAAAATGGTACATAATGTATATGATAAATATGTTTTGCAGAATGTGTTGTTTGACCTGGTACGTTAATCTACAATTCTTATAAAAGAAAATTCATATCTGGTATGATAATATATTATAGTACTGAATTTAGGAAACTTAACAATTCTAATGGCATTATTGGCTACATGCTAAGACTAAGATGACTTCACCATCTCTGACCTACTGTACATGTAAGGCTCTACACTGACGTAATCCTTAAGTTTCTTCTACTCCACTTTCTGCACAGACTTATGCAAACCTTTCAGCATAGTGTAAGACTAAGAGTGAAGACTAACATTTAGTACAATTTTCACAACAATTTTCAATGACAGTGAACATGTTGCATTACATATACAGTATATATATATACAAACAAAGCTTTTCGTGTTTTGCACATGTTTGATGAAGATCTGTGTTATACTATCATGAAGGTTCATCTGTGTTGGTAGTTGCATGTTTAAAGTTAAAACTTTAGATCCAACACAAAGAAGTTCTCTCACCCAGAGCTTTTGACCAGTCACTCTGGTCTTCCTCGTAAGTCTACTTAGGAAGACCAGAGTGACTGGTCGAAAGCTCTGGGTGAGAGAACTTCTTTGTGTTGGATCTAAAGTTTGAACTTTAAACAAGATCAGTGTTACTGTACCACATGGAGCAGCCAGAAAAGCCAGCCTGTGCTTCTGCTAGTTTAAGTTTGCATGTCAATAATGAGGGTGTTGTCAGGTGTGTAACCCTTATTGAAGCAGGCAGATCCTTTTTTCTAAGACATGGTTGCTTTTGTAAAAACGTATGCTTTAAGTTTAGAGACCACTTTTCTGAAGTTCTTTCCTTTGCAATGTGGCACACGAAATGACATATCTTTATTGTATTGTATTGTATTGTAATATTATTATACTTATTTGGGTCTTCAGATGATCGTATAGCGCACATGATTTAGCTGTGAATTTGTTAGGTTGCATTGTTTGATAGTCTAGATATTAGCTTCACAAGAAGCATTACATGGATTCTTTAAGATTACCAGAGATTCCCAGAGAACAGTATAACTCAATCCATATTTTCCATGCAAGCATAAGAATTTACTCGTATAGATATTAAGTATAATGATGGTATATAAATATAGTTCTGTACCCGTAATCTGTACATTGGGTTGGGTACATTGTGATTGGAAAAAGGTGAAAGCAGCTCAGTGTGCTTGGACAAGGTAAGCCCCACTTTGCCACTCTAGCTCTATCTGAAATCAAAGACGTAAGGCCACACCAAGTAATTGCTATGGATGACGTCCGAGCGTGCATTGATTTTGGCCTGTTCCAAGAAAAGAAGCAAGAAATTCTGCTTCCTGTAACTCTGACTAAAGAGTTGTGACAGTGCCGCAAATGAAAGAAACGGGACAGGACGACAACTGCTGTTCCACTGATTTAGTGCTGTTTTCACGACAAATATAAGATTTGTTGGTTGTTATATTGTGTCCTAACATGTCGTCCCTTAGTATATTTCAAATCTAGGCATCGCTTTTTTCGCTCCTTCTTGTTTGAATTATTTTCTCACACGCTCGCATTAGATTTAGGGTCTCCAGAGGACGTCATCCATAAAACTTACTTGTTGTCGCCTTACACGAATTGCCCAGCGTGCCGGCTGAGTTGGATGGAGCCAATCCTGGAGTCTTTGTGCCAAACTACAGTTACAGGGTTGTGTACAGATGTGGCCGCCCGACGTCTGCAAATCTTCATTAAACCAGGCCAACAGTAACTAAACTGTCTTATCTCAAAAGTCCATCTGTGTTGGTAGAAGTCGTTATGAAGTAGTTTAAACTGTTATTTCCAACGCAAGGGTCACGCGTGTCATCTGCATAACGTGACGTCACGGAAGTGTTTAGCTGGTGTGTTACGCTGAAGGGCGGTTATACCGGCTATACCGATACAGAAGCTGGTGTGTTACGCCGAAGGCTGGTTATACCGGCTATACAGATACAGAAGCTGGTGTGTTACGCTGAACGGCGGTTATACCGGCTATACAGATACAGAAGCTGGTGTGTTACGCTGAACGGCGGTTATACTGGCTATACAGATACAGAAGCTGGTGTGTTACGCCGAAGGGCGGTTATACCGGCTATACAGATACAGAAGCTGGTGTGTTACGCCAAAGGGCGGTTATACTGGCTATACAGATACAGAAGCTGGTGTGTTACGCTGAAGGGCAGTTATACCGGCTATACAGATACAGAAGTGTGTGATTGCATAGTCCTTGACAAAGACTCGAGTTGTACAGTTAAAAATTTGGGTAAGTCCAATCCCTTGTGTTGGAAATTACTATCCGGTTTATTGTCTGTTGTTTCGTCTTAGTAACTAACCTGCTTCTTCTTGTGTAGTGTAACTGAGAAGTTATCACTGTTATGTAATTACTTGTAACAGAAAATTGGGACACATTTCAAAAGTTTCACTAGTGCTGATCTTGTCCTACTTTTTGAGTTAGCAGAGACCAACATTTTGTTTGAACCATTCCTTAGAGATGAGAGCAAACAATTCATGTCCATCATCAAAGTAAAAATTTATTCAACACATAGCCACATAATTTATCCGTCAGATGTACACAATTTGTTTATTACAAATATATATACATATATCATACAAACATGGGGAGTAAAAATGTATTCAAAGTACAAAAAAGCAGCATATTTACTTTAGCCACTCTGCTGTGGCATCCGCACATATCCTGTTTTATGCCTGCTGTACAAGTGGGCTTACTGCATGCACAGGTAGATTTACACAACAAGTCTCAGTGATGGGATCCCTGACAAATGTGACTTGGTAGCCCCGGCCCAATCAGCATATTTACTTTTAGTTACTCTGCTGTGGCATCTACGCATCTGTTAAATATGCCTTACTGTTGATGTAGGTAAATTTACACACATGATGTAGGTAAATTTACACACAAGAAGTCTCATTGGTATAGCCTGGGTGCCATCCTCTGTAGTTTCTGCTGGCTCCGTAATGCCATTGACATCAGGGAGCGGGCGGAAACTACGTAGGATGGCACCCAGGCTAATATTGGTAGCCCCGGTTCAGTTAATCTACTCTGAAACTGCATCGCTGATCGTTCCTCCTGGCGGGAAGATAAAGGTCTTGGGCTTGTTTTCATCCAGCTGAACCTTCTTCCGTGGAACTGGTTTCTTGTAAGCGTTCCAAATCCTGTAAGCAACATCCGTGAACAGTTTCATCAGGTTGGTAAGTCACTGGGTAAAGAGCCTCTTTTATTCCGCAACCAGGTCTTTTATTCAGCCGACGTTTTGGTGACCGTCTGTCACCTTCATCAGGGCAATTCTGACTGGTTCACATTGAGGAAGGCGACAGACGGTCACCGAAACGTCGGCTGTGAATAAAACACTTGGTTGTGGAAAAAAGGGTCTTTTTACTTTGTAAGCAACAGTTGTAAAGTTAGTGGCCAATTGGGAATCACACAGGAACATTATTATTATTATATTATTATTAGCATCAATTTTGGCTTATAAAGCGGGTTGGTTTATAGAGTTGGAGATGCAGGATACTTCCTAGACATTGTACCAAAAGCTTAGGCCACACCAATTTAATTTCTTGGTTAACGAATTCGCCCACTTCATTTTTTTTTGATTTGCAAATAAAAATAAAAATTCAGAATCAACTGCAAAATGCTCATATTTTGCCCTGAACAGTTGAAAACAGTCCTTTTCATCCTAGCTGTTACAGTTATTTCATCTTTCAATGCAATGGTATCATTAAAAGTTCAAAATTCATTGTTTAAATTTTGACCCAGCCTGGTGTGTTGACTTCATGGCTCCTATCGTACCATTTTGGGCCATAATAGGATGCCTAGGCCTGTTTTATTTTTTTCGCCTGCCCGCTCCATTATTTTTCTAGAAAAATCCATTAACCAAGAAATTAAATTGGTGTGGCCTTACTGTATGTTTTTTTTCCAACTGCCAGTCACACAGGGACACTCTGGTTTTAATCCTCTGTAAGTATCAATTTTAGCTTGCAAAAACTGGTTGACGTATGGAGCAAATTGAAGTATGTTGGAGATGCAGGGTATATAAAACCTTAAACATTGTAACAAAAACTTACTGTATAGTCATGTCCCACGAAGAAGACACGTACTGCGCCCGCTCTGGGATGTGTATGATGCAGCGCACGGCGTCGGTGTGGCCTGTAACGGTGGAAGGGAAACACAGAAGATACAGATCATCATCAACTGTCCCGTCGCTATAATTCTGCTGTAGGGGCAACACAACTTTCAACAAAAGTACAGATATGTTGTTTGGTAGTGGTGGACTTTGGTAGTGATCAACTTTGTGCTGTGAATGCTATATTACAGGAAGCAACATCTGATGTTCCATCTTTATTTATTTTGCCAGTAGATCACACTCAGGTCCTGTTTTTCAGGTGTCCCTTAAAAGTTTCATTCTCAAGAAATAAAACAACTAATAACAATGACATCAAGCAAATAGTAGAGAAATCATATTGAAAACAATTACCAGTAAAACACTTACACTTAAGTCCTATTTCAGTCCATTTTTACAAACTGTTAAGTTGCTTTGCTCAGAAGAGAGCTTGTTCCACAGTACAGGCCCCTGAAACTGTCAACTGCCTCATGCCACGTACACGTAGTTAGGCCACACTGACTTAATTTTATGGATGACATCCGCGCAAGCATTGATTTTCGCCTGTTCTCAAAAAAAAAAAAGATCACGTCCTCTGAGGCTCTAGGCCTGGGTAGTCAGCGACAATACAGAGCCTGTGGTAACTCTAGCTCAGGAGGATAGCACCACGACTCAAAAACTCAGTACATACGTGCAGTGCCACAAAAAGCCAGCATGTGCCGGCTTGTCTAATACTGCCGCAAATTCAGGATACCAGCTTTGTACAGAGTATTCCCGTGGTTTTGTAGCATTTTTATTTTCGGCCGGAATTTTTTTTTATTCACCCGCGCGCACTAGTTTGGGGGTCTTAAGAGGATGTCATCCATAAAATTAAGTGGCCTTAAGAACCAACTTACCAACATTAGTCTGCACCAGTTTGTACTGCTCCGATTCGTACACCTTGATGACGTCCTGCACCCCCGCCACCATACAGCCGTTGGTCTGGTCGATGCACAGGGCGCTCACCTGTCGGCACACAACAGGACAGGCGAGGTCACTCATAGACTCCCGCAGACAGCAGAATTTGCACTCTATGTAACTATAACTGTATAGAGGATGAAGCACACTTTGTGTTAGAATGTGCGGTATACAATGACATCCGGAAATCCTTTATTAGCTCCTTACAGTTAGAAAAGAAATTTGCATACTTGCCGAAAATAGAATTGTTCAAACATATTATGACATCCAAGCGCTATGATATAATTGAAAAACTATGTAAATTTGTTCATGCATGTTTCAAAAAGAGAGAAGAGATCCTGTAGGTAGATCCTGTAGATAGAGTAATAGCACATGAATGTAACAATTACTTCTTCTATTGTTGTTACCAAGTTATTTAACTTAAGTGCATTTGGCCCGTGTAGGGCGTGAACATGCAATTAAGTTCATTGTCATTGTCATTCATAAAGTCTATCACAGTCGATATGGAAGGCCAAAACCCGTGCGGGCGTCCAAGAGATAGATAGATTTACAACATAAGGGAGGACTTCCTCCACCTTAACCTGCAGAACATCAACCCACAGGACAGGCAAATGGCGGGCTGCCATCAAGCCTCAGCACCAGTGTGCAAGCACGTCTAACCCTCGGAACAAGTTCCGAACAACAGACGATAAACCAGATAGTGAGTAAGTCTGTTGTTACATACAATACAACCTTGCATAGTGGACTGTCATAAGGCACTTTGTTAGGCTTAAACCAGGTAAGAAACCATTCAGAGACATGGCAACTGTCAGAACCGATTTCAGCACCAAGGACAGGGACATCAGCACTGGTCATAGTAACAGGACATGTAATAAATTAATTCATCTGTTGATACATGCATCACCACCATGGACAATGGATTGTCTTAAGGCACTCTGGTCATTGACAGAACAACACTGTCAGAACCGATTTCAGCACCAAGGACAGGGACATCAGCATTGGTCTGACCGATGTCTGCGACAGATGCATGGTGGTGACACCACTTTTCATTTCAATAACAATGTAACACTAATATTATTCTTAATGCACTGGGAAGATTTATGACTAAGAACTTCATGAACCTGTGTCATTTAGCCTACATACACTTGAAGAAGCCAAAGGGGCACAACCGATCATGACAGGCTGAATAAAAGAACTGAATGGGCTCCAGATGTCTTACTGAGGGACAACTGAGGTTTGATAGAGAGATGTTAGTTAGCTTGAGGAATGAATCCACTGTACTTGAATCTAGTACCATTAGAATTACCCCAGTAAGACAGATCTCTCTACAGATTACTGCATACGATAATGAACGTTTATTGCAAATTCATGCCCGAGGGCTAATTGCAAGAACATGATAACAACAGTAAACAGTAGAATGATAATAAGTGATGCTAATGCTACTTTATATATACATTTGTAGTTATTGTTGGATTTGATTTCTTTTCCGTGTGCAGTGGAGTATGAAATGACCGACATTTTGCGAGATATATGAATTGGGAGGTGTTAATAGAAAATTAATGCAGTTTTTGTAGGCTGGGAAGGTGAATAAAGCTAGGGAACATTTTGGTGACCATTTCAAATAACTGATCTCTTTCGGTGCTATAATGAGGGCAGTGACAAATAAAGTGCATTTCATCCTCCACTGCGTTTCCTGCACGGGCGTGCAGACGTACCGTTCCGTGGACGTTGAGGATCTGGTCACAGTTCATGCCGTCCTCCGACCAAATCCGCAGCGTGCCGTCCTCAGAGGCCGTCACCCACTTGTCTGTCAGGTGGTTCCACCGAACCTGCAAAAACACAATGTCATCTAGTTACACATACTTACTACCATTTACGTCACATTTGGGCTTCAATAACGTTTGATACTCGTGTTCTGATGTTCTGACCTGTGTGATAACTAGCAGTATCACACAGGGTTCTACCAGATACCTTTGACCCAGTGTTCACGTCACACTTCAAAGAAGCCACGTGACAAGCCTCACTGGGTCAGTCTACTGAGGAAGACCAGAGTGACTGGTCGAAAGCTCTAGTTGAGAGAATTTTTTGTGTTGGAACATTTTTAACTTTAAACAGGGTTCTACATTGTATTGGTTATCACACAGTTCCATCAAATAATTCAAATGCGTTTCACATGCATCGTGTCGACCATTCAGATAACAAAATCAAATTCAGACCTTTAAAACCGTTATTATCATTTTCAAGTGTGCCTGCTGACCAGTTTAATCTCTGCCTTGTGCCCCTATACCATGTTGTGTATGTTATAATTATTGCTAATCTGTGTAATCTCTGCCTCGTGTCCCTGTAGTGTGTTGTGTACTAACCTGTGTAATCTCTGCCTCGTGTCCCTGTAGTGTGTTGTGTACTAACCTGTGTAATCTCTGCCTCGTGTCCCTGTAGTGTGTTGTGTACTAACCTGTGTAATCTCTGCCTCGTGCCCCTGTAATGTGCTGTGTACTAACCTGTGTAATCTCTGCCTCGTGTCCCTGTAGTGTGTTGTGTACTGACCTGTGTAATCTCTGCCTCGTGTCCCTGTAGTGTGTTGACAAGTGTCATCTCGCTCCCAACAGGGCTGAAGGTCCGTATGTAGACCATCTTGTCACTGGAGGCGTACGCAAACTCGTTCCTGCAGAAATAATTAATGCTAGAGATTATATCTAGTCTGAGGTGATATCAGGAGCAGGCTACGTCACTCAAAGTCCTTCCTGCACCAGCAGATGCATAGGGCATGTTCCTTTTTTGGGCCACAAACTTCAGCAATCACTACAGCACTGGGCTAGTCCACTGGTAGTGGTGTGTGTTCAACTCCCGTACTATTTCCCAAAATGCTAAGTGCAGAGAAAGCTGTATTTTTTAAGTCCTTGGTATGACTCGGGTTAGGATATAAGGAGCATCATGTTTTTGTCATATAACTATAGAATTGCAGCTGGTATGTACCGTTTAGGACAGTAGGCCATGTCGATGATGATGCCGTCACACGCCAGCTCCTGTGCCTCGGGGGCGAGTTCTGGGGTGCTGCTGCGGAAAAAGTCGTGCAGCGTTCCCGCAGCCAGGTCCCAGATCAGCAGTCTGCGGTCCCAGCCGCCGCTCACCAGGTACGCCCTACGCAGGCAACGTGGGACAAAACAGAAGTCATGACACTCTTCATCTTAACCGAGACGGGGGCCGACATCGTCTACCAGATACCTCTGACCCAGTGTTGACGTCACACTTCAGAGAAGCCACGTGACAAGCCTAACTGGGTCAGTCTACTGAGGAAGACCAGAGTGACTGGTCAAAAGCTCTAGGTGAGAGAATTTTTTTGTGTTGGATCAAAAGTTTTAACTCTAAACAGACTCTTCATCTGTTGTTACATGCTTTACAAACATGAACAATGGACTTTCATAAGGAACTTTGATAGGCTGCACATCATGATCATTTAAAGACAGGACAACACTCAGAATCGATTTCAGCACCAAGGACAGGGACATCAGCATTTTTCTGACTGATGTCTGGTACGCTCCGGGCAGGCAAAATGGGACACAACAAAAGTTATGAGACTCAGTATAATGTGGTTCTGGAAGAGATCAACAACGTAAGAGAGGACAGAGGCAAATGGCTGCTGCCATCAAGCCTCAGCATCAGGGTGCAAGTACGTCTAACCTCTGTTGAAAGGGCCAGGAAACAGCAGATGTTAAAACGGATAATAAGGGAGTGAATTTCCTCACCTGTCGTACTGCTACTTGAAGACATGGCTATTTCTTTTTTTTTTTTAACGGTTGTAGCTCAATGCAAGGCCAATTATTTTTGGCCACTTCTAGGCATAGAGCTAGAGGTATAGAACTGTAACAGCAACTCTTCTCCCTGAGTCAGAAACAGCATGACTGAGACCTGCCCCGAATTTGTCACAAGTAGTGAGGACTAACTGACCCAATAGAAGAAGCAGGGGTTACGAGGCTGGTCGGGAAAATTCCCTACCCCTTTTCAGACCATAATGGTTTGTTCAACTTCCGCTCACGTGGGTTCTTTAACGTGCTTGAGGTGTGTCTCTCCTCAAACACGGGACCTCCATTTTAACGTCCCATCTGATAAGACTTGTCTGGGCTGGTATTAGGCACTTGGTAGTTGGTACGTCCACTAGTTTATTAGTCGTTTTGTACAGTGAGTGGATAGTGAGTAAATGCATTTCCTCACCTGTCGTACCCCGCCTCCTTCCCGACCACGATGACGGACGTGACGCAGCTGTTGTGCCCCTGCAGCACGTTCTTGCAGATGAAGCCTGCGACGCGGTTGGTGACGGAGTCGTGGTCGTCGAGCTGCCCGCCGGCACCGTTCCTGGGCAGCAGCTGCGACTGCGGGCCCAGCAGGATCAGGTACTTCTGCACCAGGTTCTCAGACGTCGACGGCTGCATCCTCTGCAGAACCTAAAAATTAAAAAAAAGAATTTAACGGCTCTCGGTGGCAAATGTGCTGATGTTGACACATTGGCAAACCAAATCTGTAGTGTGTTTTTGGCACACAGTTTAAATGGTTTTAAATGGTTTTTATTGTCCAAACAGTACCCGTGCAGTCGCAGCCTTACGGCTGAATTGATGCAGGGTATCACATAATAATCAATACAAATCACAACAATTACAACATTCAAATAATACAAATGATACACACAGTCGCAAGGGTCTGTGCGGCTGCCATTCGGCGCCACAAGGTGACCTCAATACGACTTTCCCCAACCGAAGTTAGGTACCCATTCACACCTGGGTGGAGTGAGGAAATTCGTGTAAAGTGCCTTTCCCAAGGTCACAACGTCGGGGCGCATGTCCAGACATGTCCCGGGTACGACTCGGAATCGAACCCGGGTCTCCCGGTTCACAGTCGATTGCTCTAACCACTACACCACCCGACGCCACTAAAGTTAGACAGATTAGCCTAGGAGGCTCGGTGGGTGTCACTCCACCGTATAGGTGTGGAAGTTGTGTAAAGTGCCTTTCCCAAGGGCACAACAACGGGCAACGGTGAGTCTCGAACCCGGAACCTTTTCGCTCCGAGTCCAATGCTCTAACCATTGTGCCACCAACACCTCTGCAAAACCTAAACTCCAAACAAGCGCCCAGAAAAGGAGATTTTTAGTAAAACGTTGAACTTTATTCGAATAGAAAGTTGCACAGAGATCAAATTTTCAGCGACCACTGTCCATCATCCACTTTGCCCCCCACTCTGCCAAGGTAACAAGGTCACTCTGGAGTTTCTGTGAGTCACCCAGGCATGAGACCGTCATACAGATCATGGTATCATCAGCAAAGAGACGAGCTGTAGAATTTAAGTTTTCATTGATATCATTTATATAATGCCCAAACTGTCTACACCACGAAGACGGCCTCATTACCCAGTAAGGGTACCTAATGGCCTCGATTCAGGTGAATATATATTACAAAAACAGACATGGCCCGAGCATGGAGCCCTGTGGAACCCCCGAGATGACATCCAGTTTGCTAGAAGTCACCCCCTCGATAACCACTGACTGGGTGGGACAACAAAAAAAGTCTTCTATCCAGTCTCTGGTTTGTGGTTCGATGCCGTACCACTGAAGCTTCCGACTGAGTCGTAGATAATAAACCAGACTATTACTAGTACTAACCGTGGCCGCCTCGTCGTCGAAGCCCCACACGTAGATGTTGCTATCCTCGCATGTAGCGACTAACAAGTCCAGGCTTTCCACAAACATCGTTCGTAGCAGGGCCACGTTGGCGTGTCGGCGGTTCTTCCCTGGCGGGAGGAATGGCTTGTTCACGGCGTGCTGCCTGTAATCATTGGTTTATTTCTCATTAAAAACATTTACAGAGTAAAGAGACTCTTTTTTCACAACCAAGAGTTTTATTCACAGCTGATGTTTCGGTGACCGTCTGTCACCTTCCTCAGGGCAATTCTGACAGGTTCACATTGCACTGCAGCACAGGTGTCGCTATACAGCGTAGATGCATTCCCAAACATAAAATGTCGGGGTGAATAAAGAGTTTTCACTTGGTTGTGAAAAAAGAGTCTCTTAATACTCAGTAGCTTACCAACCTGATGAAACTATTCATGGAAGAAAAAACATGTACAGTCTCGCAGTGTGCACTTATCACCCACGGACTGATTTGTACTGAAAATACAAACCAGAAAACAAACTAACTAGTACATGGCTAATTGCATAATCTAAAAAGATTTTAGGGATAAAATTTTTTTAGCACATTAATAAATAGTTATCTATACAATAAAAAAATACATATTATTAATACATATCTTCACTTATTACTGAGTTATTGTTTCTCACAATAGCTAAGTCTTTTTTGAGTATTTCTCATCTTGATGAATGGATTACTGGGTGCCACCTTAGTGCACTCAAATTTGAAGCTGTGCACACAATTTTTTTCTGTGGGTGCACTAGAGCACCCAAATATTTTTGTAGGTTTATATATGTCAAGATGTTAAATGTATAGTAGTATACAGAATAATGGTGCACCCAAAAAATTTGTGCACCCAATATTTGTGCACCCAATATTTTAGGTTGGGTGCACCAGTATTCCCAAAAATGAATTTTGAGCCCTGAGAATAGAACAACACATTGGAAATAGCATTTACCTGGTGGCAGACTGGTAGCTGTGCCCTGTGGAGTCGCTCTCGGTTCTCTTGTTCTTGATTTTCAGCATGGCGGCAAGCTTGGCCTGAGCCTCACTGTACAGGAAAGACTCCTTACTGTACATGAAGGTGTTGGTCTGTAGTCTCTCAAACTTGTTCAACATCCCGTCACTGCCGCCACTGAAGATCAGGATGGGCACCTAACAACATAGGGTTTTACAATTATCATTGTGATGAACAAGTATGTTGTCACTTTTATTTTGTACAATGAAAGGCAAACAATTTAATATAATGTACATGTGTGTCATTATCAAGGATAAACTATTACATAGTAATGAATAATGAGTGCCATATGCAAAAGTTATTTTGTAGTATCGTAAACAACCTCATTCAGTCACAGTATTGCAGAGTGACACTAGGTCTACCTAGTACTTTTTTCTCTTCTTTTTCTCTGTATACATAAGTTACAGGTAGGATAACAAGGATGTGTTTTAGGGGGAATACTGCACAATGTAAACAACAGGCAGTTTTACCTTCTGTGTGTAGGTGAGGCTCTCCACGGCATGTTTACACTTGAGCGCCGTGATGCAGCCTGACGTGTTGTACTTCCACACGAACAGCTGCCGCCGGCTACTGGAGGCAACCACCTGGAAACAGATACAAACAAGAAAAATCGTAGATTTTGTACCTCCGGGTATTGTAATGTATGTTGCAGAATGTTGGGTGCATGTTGGGACTGTTCTTTAAATTAGTGAATGGTGTCTGGGTGTGTGTGTGTGTTCACGCGAATACCACGTGACACAACTATGCAAGAGGAAGCTACGCAACTTGACACCTGTGCGAACAAGAACAATATGATTATGAACGGGGATAAGTCCTATGAGTTGAGACTGTGCTTTTCAAAAAATCCACCTGTTCCACCTCCCCTCACACTTGGAGGCAAAGAAGTCCCGGTTGTTGAATGTGCCACGTATCTGGGCTTCAAACGTCACCGCAGCCTTGGGTGGGACAGCCAAATCTTACACATGGCAAAGAAAGGCTCAACCCGTCTTCACTTTCTCCGCATGCTCAAGAAGGGCGGGATGCCACCAGAGGACCTGGAAACTGTGTATACGACTCTGATACGACCTGTGTTAGAGTATGCAAATGTCGTGTACGTGGGCTGTAACACAAAACAGAACAACACTCTTGAGGCTGTACAGAGAAGGGCGGCGAGAATCCTACGGCAACAGTACTCAGACAACCCCCTTCTCCACCCTCCAGGACAGACGGGAAACTGCAGCAAAAACTCTGCTCAAGCAAATGCGGCATGTCAGCCACACTTTGCATTCTTTGATGCCCTGCGACAGACAACAGAGCACACGGCGGTCCCTGAGAAATGGAAACCACATCTCCGTTCCGAAGTTCAGAACTGAAAGACTGAGGAAACCTTTTCTGTTTCAGGCAATAAGCCTCAGCAATCAAGATTTGTAAATAGTCCGCCTCTGTTTTAATGGACCTGAGCTACAAAATTTTAAATCTATTTAATTTTAATCGTCAATGTTGTGCTTTTTAATGTGTATCTCTTTTCAAGCTATTTTAACATGTAATCACTTGTGCAATTCAGCCAAGCAATGAATATTGGCTGCCAATCAATGTGAATAAAAAAACAGTTTCAGTTTTAGTTTTTCGAAAAGTTTCGAAATGTTTGTAATTGGCTAAATGATCTGTGAAATCACTAATCCCCCCTAGCCGACTGGAGCCCAAAAATAGAAAGGACAGGGGGCATCCCGTGGCGAATCTGGCTGCCCGACCCTCAGCGACCAGCGATCAACTCCAGTGCGCGGAACGGAACTTGCTCTCGAAAATGTATCAAGCCGCTACGCTTCCCCCCGCGGCTGCCATCCCTCCCCACTTATCCCACACTAGTTCAAATCACGTAAAAAAAACCCATCAAAACATGCACAGAAGCGTGTTCATATCTTTCATGTTACGGTTAAAACTTAGAACCTCATTTTGAGCGAACGTTACAAACACGAGACAAAATAATATTTTCGAAAACAAATCGCAATCTTATCAGCAAGGTTTCATTGATTCCTGTTAGATTTAACCGGTACCAAACCGCGGCAGGCAGCTAAGAACAGCGACATATTTGCCACGGTTAGCACAAGTGGCGGTGATATATTCAGGTCGTGCCGCCATGTGTTTGTTTAGATATCAGTGTGAATAGCAGCCCTGTTTCAGACACGGCCGGCCTGCGGGCGTTTCCGGCACGGGCACGATAATGAGACGTTGATTGACGGCACATGTGGTTCACATCTGAACAGTTTCAAAGAAAGAATTTATCGACAATGCTGACACCCCTCTGTGTGAAAGGTCAGATCAGTGGTCGCGACCTCAATCGTCCTTATACATGCAAAGGTCAAAAGCTGAGGTCCACTTTCACACTGAAAGGGGTGTCCATCGGCGGTCTAAACGCATCATTTTGACGCACTAAAACACACATACTAAAAAACCAAAACAACGTGCACCATCTACAGCCCAACAGCAAAACGTATACCAACTCCCAGACATATCCGTCCACCCAAACGCGAGAAACGGGTGCGAACGCAATTTTCGTCTTCCCTCACAAAACCTCCGCGCTCGGGATGTACATCCCTACCCGGAGGTAATAATTATGTACCTCTGACCCAGCGCTCTACCCAGCACTCGTTTTTCCATCAATTGCAGGAACTTGTGGAGTGTGACAGAATCATTTTTAAACCAATAGGTCAACCTTGACGGATACAATTGACAATAAGGCCACAGCAAGTAAATTTTATGGATGACATCCTCCGCAGATTTCAAATCTAATGCGAGCGGGCGAAAAAAAAACAAGGCGGGCCGAAAAAAACATTAGGTTCCAGGGTACATTTTAAAATTTTGACTCAATCATTGTACAAATGGTTTTGATTCAGGGGGTACATCATATATACACAGCCAGCATCACATATCACTGCATCAAAGTAAGAAACAAAACATTAAATTGGAGCCTTTTCTTGTCTCCTCTCTTCATAGTAATCTGCCACCCACCTTCCGGCATGGCAACAGACATCTTTGCCCATTTTCGGTATGTTGACCACTGTCAGAAGGCAACAAAATTTCTTGTTTTTTTTCCCAAAATCAGGCGAAAATGGATGACATGCGCGCGCTGATGTCATCCATAAAAATTACTTGCTGTGGCCTAATCTTAGAAACGGTAAAAAATGTAAAAATATCCAAAGGACCACTAACACCCACTCTCAACCCCATGATTTGCCCCTTAAAATGTAGGAAATTGCATTTTTTAAGGCTTAAAAATCCAAATAAATTTGCCCCCTGATCCTCCTAGATTGCAAGCACTGTCTCCCCAGGTCCAATCATGAACCTGGGCTGACGGAAAAAAAGATTCTAGTAAACAAACAAACAAACCTGGTTAAACTCTGGGCAGAAGCACAGCAGCTGCAGGTGGTACTTCAGCGTCTGCTCTCCCTCCGACTGGAACGTCCCGATGAAATCTGATACATTCTCCCCGGACTTGGGATCGTACAGACTGGCGTAGGACGTTCCGCTGCCGACCCAAACCGTCTTGCTGGGCTTGCAGTAACAGATACTGGTGATGGCGGACATGAAACCGTCCAGTTTGTGCGTCAGCTGCCCGTCGGGCGACCAGATCTTAACCGTCTTGTCGAACGACCCGGTTAGTATCCACGTGTTGTTCTCGCTGTCTTTGACCATGATCATGCAGTTGATGCCGGCGTCGTGTGCGTTGTGGTTGCTGTACAAGACGTTCAGGCCCTTCGTCCCCGGGTAGGTGATGGTGTCGTAGATCATGAACTTGCGGTCGTACCCGGCCGTGTAGACCCGGTTCTCGTGGCACACGATGCAGCGCACGATGTCCGTGTGCTCGCGGGCGACGTGCGCCCCCCGCATCTTGATGAAGTGCCCGCTCTCCTTGTTCTCGTCAAGATCAAAGAGCTGGGAAGGAAAAAAAAAGTATTTCACTACAGAACCACAACAAGTACTACCTGTGAGTATAATAGATAGTTACTATCATGACAAGTGTCATTCACTCTCACTCTCTCACTCACTAACATTTTTATTCTTGTCAATGGGGGCTGGACGTGCTTGCAGGTTGATCCCAAGGCTTGATGGCAGCCCATCATTTGCCTCTGTCCTGTGGATTATGTTGTCCATCCATTTCCTCCTACCTTGTGGGTTTTGGCCTTCCACATTCAGGGTTTATCTTTTCAATTCCCTACTTCAAAATTAACACAGATACAAAAAAAAATCCACTGTGAATGAATATGTCGTACCTTCACGGCTGCGTTGAACCCACAGATGAGGTGGTGGCGCCTGACGTTGAGCGTCATCTTGTAGATGGGATAGCCGAAGGTGATGCGGTCCAGGACGGTCCCGCCGGCACTCCAGCAGAGGATGGTCCCGTCGTTGGAGGCTGAGAGGAGGAGCTTCTCATCCGCCCAGAACAGGAAGTCTGTGATCCACCCGGCGTGCTCCTGCACACACTACAGGGGGCGGCAAACAGGCGGTTTCTCAACATGGGAAATACCGGCCCAGTCATAGCCAGGCATGCTTCTGCACACACTACAGGGGGCGGCAAACAGGCAGTTTCTCAACATGGGAAATAACACTACAGGGGGTGGCAAACAGGCGGTTTCTCAACATGGGAAATAACACTACAGGGGGCGGCAAACAGGTGGTTTCTCAACATGGGAAATAACACTACAGGGGGCGGCAAACAGGTGGTTTCTCAACATGGGAAATAACACTACAGGGGGTGGGAAACAGGCGGTTTCTCAACATGGGAAATAACACTACAGGGGGCGGCAAACAGGCGGTTTCTCAACATGGGAAATAACACTACTGGGGCGGGAAACAGGCGGTTTCTCAACATGGGAAATAACACTACAGGGGCGGGAAACAGGTGGTTTCTTAACATGGGAAATAACACTACAGGGGCGGGAAACAGGTGGTTTCTCAACATGGGAAATAACACTACAGGGGGTGGGAAACAGGCGGTTTCTCAACATGGGAAATAACACTACAGGGGGTGGGAAACAGGCGGTTCTCAACATGGGAAACACCGGCCCAGTCACAGCCTGGGTACCATCCTCTGGAGTTGTTGGCCAGGCAGCAGAGTGGTTTGAGTCATACCTTTCCATTGTACTTCAATTAATGGTCATACATCAGACTTTTGCACAAACTTTACAGTCCCACAGGGCGCAATCCTGGGGCCATTACTATTTATAATATATGTGAACGACATGCCCAGTTGTGTTCTGGAATGCCAGATTGCACTATATGCTGATGACCAAATCAACTCCTCAAATGAGTTTAGCCCCGATAGGCCACCCCAAAAGTGTGCCTGATTTTGAGACAAAAGTTTTCTAGAAAAGAAGCATTTAGCATGAGGGTAGAAACTAAAAACAGCAGACAGAGATATTTTGAATCATTAGTGTTAAGAAATCTACCTGTGACAGTTTGCCGCTGTCGGACTCCCAGGCCTTGATGACTCCGTCCTCGAAGCCAGCGAGAATCTCCCTGCGGGTGGGGTGGTGACCCAGCGCCGTTACCGAGTGGTTGTGGGTGTCCCGCAGAACGTGCTGCTTCTCCATCGCCATGGCGATGATCAAGTCTGCACTCCTTTTTTTCTAAGACTGGTATTACACAAGAGCAAAGGATCATTTACTCTTATTAAGCACATTATTACATGCTTTCTGTCCAATGCTAACAAATCTATGGGGGCCTGCAGGGGGACAAGGCTCTACGCTAAATTTTGTGACCCGAATTGAGGAATTGATTACGCTTTACGTTAAATTCCAAATGGCTACAACGTATTACGTAGGATTAAAAGGCAAATACAGTCTACACAAAATGCGCCAATTATGCTCTGGGTTGAAGTCTTCGGTCTACGTCGAAATAAAACGACCAATTACGCTCTACGGAAAAGGGCATGCGGGCCCCCATCTATGTGAATAGAATAAAAATAAAGGAGTAAGAAGAAATCATTCAAAGGGCTACTTAGATAACTTCAAGACTCATTTCATGTGCTTCTTGGAGAAGTTCAATACTCATTCAAAGGGCTGCTTAGAAAACTACTCTCCAAGCAGAGGTTGGTGGGGAAGATCATTACCTTTGTATGTCCCTTTTTTTGGCGTCTACCCACACCATAGAAAGATAATGATCTTCCCCACCAACCTCTGCTTGGAGAGTAGTTTTCTTGGAGTAGTTTTTTTTGGAGTGTAAGAAAACTTCAAGACTATCACAGTTGTTGATTTTTAACCAAGGAAGTTAAAAACCTAGAACAGCGAGCAGATTATTATTGGAATGAGCAGAGCACTTTGGACTAATGCCTCTGACCATTTACAGCTTAGAGGTACATATCCAATATTTTGTCAAAAACTTCTCTGTTACATAGCGGATCATAATGACCCCTAGTGGGGGTCTTCACGCTTCGTTAAAAATTGAAAAATCTCAATATTTTAGACGAAATCTTGAGATCTTATGAGACAATATTGAGATTTTTTATGACAATCTCCAGATCTTTCAGAAAATCTTAAGATGAAAAGAAAAGGTCTCAAGATCTTTCCAAATGTTTTCAAAGTATCTTGAGATTTTTCCATAGCATCTCGAGATGCTTTAAGAAATATTAAGATTTTTAAAGCAATCTTGAAAAAACGTGAGATCTTTTAAACAATCTTGATATTTTTTAAAGCATCTCGAGATGCGTTGGAAAAATCTCAACATACTTTGAAAACATTTGGAAAGATCTTGAGACCTTTTGTTTTCATCTCAAGATTTTCTGAAAGATCTGGAGATTGTCATGAACAATCTCAAGATTGTCTTATAAGATCTCAAGATTTCGTCTAAAATATTGAGATCTTTAGAATGAATCTTGAGATTTTTCAATTTTTAACGAAGCGTGAAGACCCCCGCTGGGGGTCATTATGATCCGCTATGTAACAGAGAAGTTTGTGACAAAATATTGGATATGTACCTCTAAGCTGTAAATAGTCAGAGGCATTAGTCCAAAGTGCTCTGCTCATTCCAATAATAATCTGCTCGGTGTTTTCAACTTACAAGCTTATGAAACTAGTTTTCAGATCTTGGTACTTTTAACTTCATACCTATAGGCAGCACAAAAACAGCACACAGACAGCACAATTATAAGATAGCACATGGATGTTGCAGGATTTGTTTACCTGTTATTCCTCTGAATCCGGAGCTTCTCCTCCTTGTTTGCAATGTCCTGGCGATTGCTGTAAGGAAGTCAAACAAAATCCTTGAGATTGTGACATCTTTTATCAACTGCTTTGCACAAAATCGGTATATTTTCATGAAGTTATACTGGGTAGGGAGTAGACCTGTGGATAGGCCAGCTCTAAACCATAGTCAGCAAGAAAGTTTTGTACAAAAATCAGCGTTTACTAGTACATAGAAAGAAATATTACACTGAAATCACTAACTAAAGATAGCTTTTCAGGCTCATATGCCTGGATAGAAAAGGTTCTACTGAAAACTAGACCCCAAAAAGGGTTGTACTTACTGATGTCTAAAGTCATAAGTATTTCATCACCATATAGTGATATATATTATAGAAATACCATAGCTTTACACCATACAGGAAGAAAGGTTGTATTCAAACTCACCTTGCCAGTGTTTTCTCCATACCAAGGATCGCTCTATGGGAGTTTCAAGAAAAAAAAGGAATGATGAAATAGTCTTAAATCAGACAGAAGAAATTAGTACAAGAATCATGTAATGATCACACAACAATTAAAAAAAGTTCTTTGGTCTCATTTTGCATCTTACATGTCCGCCTCATCTAGCTCATCTTGCTTGGTGTCCAGGTGTGATGCAGGAGTTGGCTGGGCAAGCACACAAGCAGGGAAGCTGTAGGGGTAAATGTCAACAAGAAATTATTAAAAACAGTAGTTTTAAAGTACTGGGGACATGTGTGTTTGCCCAATGTGAAATGGTGTTCAGCACCAGGGACAGGAATGCTTACTTGTTTGGATGTTGTTCAGTGCCAAGGACAAGTGTGTTACTTGTGTAAGGTATGGTGTTTAGCACCAAGGGGAGGAATGCTTACTTGTTTGGATGTTGTTCAGTGCCAAGGACAAGTGTGTTACTTGTGTAAGGATGGTGTTTAGCACCAGGGGCAGGAATGCTTACTTGTGTGTGAATGCTTTTCAGTGCTAAAAGACGTGTGTATTTCTTGT